CCCTGGCACAGCGGACTCTGGCACAGCGGACTCTGGCACAGCGGACTCTGGCACAGCGGACTCTGGCACAGCGGACTCTGGCACAGCGGACTCTGGCACAGCGGACTCTGGCACAGCGGACTCTGACACAGCGGGCTCTGACACAGCGGACTCTGACACAGCGGACTCCGGCACAGCGTACGCCCGGTTGAGATAGGCGACTCCCCAGCCTCGCACGACCCTCTTGTCCAGATCGGATCCGAAACATACGGCGCCTAAGCGACTGGCAGCGATGAGGATAGAGCCGGTACCGCAGAAGGGGTCCAAAACAACGTCTCCGGCCTTGACCTCAGCGAGGTTGCACATGATGAAGCTGGCGTCGGTATCGAGCGTCGTAGGTCCGAGGATCGGTCTGCGGGGAAGCAAGTAGGGGGAGGTAACCCGGCAGTTCTTCAGTACCCTGGTCAACACCTTTCCAACGCAGCACCAAACGGGCTCTTTAGAGTGGGTATTGAACTCCTGAAGGATACAAAATTCCACACCTGGCTTCTTCAGATTTGCCCTGTAGTGGGGCTCAAACAAAAATCTGAAACTATTCATGTTCTCAACATGCTGTTCCAAACTCGCCTGGTAACCAGCGGTATCGCAATACCACGCAAAAGACCGGTAGTCTTCCATCTCCTCCCGCAGCCATGTGCGTGTGAACCCTCGATTGATTCGGTCGACCAGTCGGCGCTGCTTACAAGCTGGCTCCACGGGCTCCGACGAATCCGGTTGCGACGAATCCGGTTGTGGAGAGCTCGACGCCAGGAGCCTAGGTTCCAGTAAGTTAGGTTCCGGGAAGCCTGGTTGGGGAAAGACTTTGGGAACTAAACATTTGGGGTCGTGGCGTCGTTGTACCGTCTCCACAACCTCATCTAATGTTCTCGCCTCCGCGTAGCAGACGCCTACCAGCTTGACTAGCACTGACCGTTCCTGTACAAGACGGGCCCATACTTGGATGTCATGTAGTTCGGCTGGAGTTCGAACATCCTCGCAATCTAATATAGCCAATTTCTGGCAGTCCTGGGTCCTCGCGACGGCCTTTTGAATCACGGGCGGACCCATGCGTTGCAAGGCAGCCACTTCAGCTAGACGGAAATCGCCGTAGCGACAGTGCTGTGACACCCATATTATTATTTTCATTCGCGGGACATTATTATTATGTACACGGTGAGTCTGTGGACAGCGGCCTTGGCAGCCACCACCACTCCGTTCTGGACCTACAGCACCGTCTACGGACCCGATGGCGCCTGCCAGTGTGTCCCGTCGTCCAAGCAAACGGGCGATGCGGTCTTCGCGACCAAGCAAACGTGTTTGGAACACTATTCACAGCTACCGAACGAATTCTGCACATACAAGGGCCAGGGAATCAAACTACATTGTGAGCAGAACAAACGCTCGTCTCCTTTCACCTTGACACACACTCACGCACACAGATAGGTATGCACGCACGCAGGACCGGGCTCGTGCGGACCGACCGGGCTACATTCCCTGCACCCTTGTAGTACAAGATGATGTTATCAGTTTCTTTGGACGACGAACTTGTAAGTCGCTATACAAGTCTTTGGCTGCTTCGCCACAACGTTACGAAGAATTTCTGAACGACGGGTGCGCCGTCAAGGGCTCAATGACATTCGAAAAAGGGTTGCGAGACTATGTTCTTAAAGGCCTTTTGGACCCAGCATATTTAGTTAGCATTGAACGAAGAACAGATGGGGACTTGGCACCCCCGGAATGCAACACCAAGACCACCAAGTGCCCCGAAACCACCGGATTCCGGACCACGGGCGAGACGACTAGTGAAGAACTAGGACTGACAACAGGCTCGGCTGACTCCACCACTGAAGCAGCCCAGTTAACAATGGAAGACACAGGGAGCAACACGACTGTGCCCGGAGACGACGAGGCTTCCACTGACATCGGCGGAAACAAGGAGGAAAATGTTCAACTTGACCCGGGCTCCACCACCGTCTCCAGCGCCGCCATCGGTGCGGTTGCTCTCACTGGCGTCGGGATCATGCTGCTCAAAAGTGGCGTTATTGCTGCTACTCCTGAAGCCGACGGATTTGCGTACATCCAGCCCCGTCAACATGACGTCTTTCAAAGGGAAGCCGTAGCAGAAGTTTCCTTAGACATGTTTGCCTGACATGTTCACTTAGCTTGTGTACAGCTACTTTTTCTTTGGACACAAAAAGCACTCCGGTCTTTTCTTCTTTTGGACCCCTCTGATATCTTCCACCCATCTGGCACAGCTCGTCGCATCGATTTGAACGGCCTATTTCCTCGCATATATCTGTAATGGTGAGGGCTGGAGGAGAGCTGCAGGCTGGTCCACCACTGGCGGCCTCCGCTCAGTGATGGGCTGTGCTGATGCCGGTCTGAATGTGTGAACAATTTTCCGCTGCAACTCTTCCCAGTTGGGAATCAAATATAAATTCTTCCTAAGAAGCGCTCCCGTGTCGCACGGAATCACGGCCAAATTATCCACGGCCTGCAGCAAAGACAGAGTGGAACAACTCAAGTCCGACGGCATATCTGATGAACTCAATAACCCACATAGACGAATCACATCAGTCTCAATTAGCCAGCTTGTGGTCTTCATGTTTCGTTGACTCAGTACAAAGCACTAAACAGAATGAAGGGTAGAAACGAGAGGAAGGATAGGTAGGAAGAGAGGTCAGGGAAGGGCGGAAGGTCGGGGAATTTTACCCGACGTAGAATTTCGAGAGCGCGCGATCGGACGACGACGGAGACGTCGCCTAGGAGGAGTTTGGTGAGGGCGTTGAGTAGGAGCGGGCGTGGGAAGCGGACCCCGGGTCTTGCGTTGGCAATTGTCTTTAGTACGATGGCGAGGCAGAAGTCTATTAGCCTGCCTACTTTGGATACTAGTACTCGTTGGCCGTCCATCCATCGGACGCAGGGCCGTCTGCGTTTTTTGCCGTCCACATATATGATGGTTGCCTGAATTAAGAGCCCATCGATCAAGGGCAAGCTCTGGGCCAAGAAGGCCTCGTTGTCGCTGTTCAGACGCGTGCTGCAAGAGACGAAGCCAATAGCATTCAAAGTAGCGTCCAGCGACGGCCCCTTGCCCGAACAAACGCCCCCTAGCACGCGAGATCTCTTGTTATGCTCCTCCGCGTCCAGGACCAAGCGCTTCGGGTTCAGCTGCAAACTCTCTAGACGGACAATTGGCTCCCCAATCGGCGTCTGAGTTCCCTCCAATTCCAGCTCCGATGGGCTTAATCCCGGCGGACTTAATCGGCAACAGTACAGCTTGTCAGCTTTCGCCGGCTTGCTGCGTAATGTACGCAGTCGCCCGTTCACGCGCCGGGAGGCCATGGAACGCCAGGTAATTCCTCCCGTTAGCAGCAGCGCGATCGCTGGCCATAGATACATGTCTCTTAGGAATTTGGACAGCAGTGCGTTCGGCGGCGCGACTCGGACGCAGGACTCCGCCAGGCGCCTCAGCAAGTCGCTCAAGTTATTCACTGAATTCGACGAAGACACCAGCGTAGCCGAGGGCAGCCGCACTTTCCGCGGCTTGCTCACCCGCAAACCCCACCTCGGGCTCCCCGCGCGCGCGTGCACACACGTGTGCAGTCCCTGCTGACAAAGACTCGCCTGCAGGTACAGCCACAAACTGGGAGCGCGCCGCTCCTCGTACAAGCTGCCGTCCACATAGAACGCTGGTCCCGCCTCCAGGTCCTCCGAACCGGTCGAAGAGGACAGCTCCATGTCATGACGGTCCTCCTCGAGAATCTCCAACTCATCCGTCGCGTCCGTAGACGAAATCTCGCCGAAGGGCAGCACGTCCAGGTCCGCCAGCGACGACGAAGCCCGGCTCTCGCCGACCACGCCATCCTCCCCGGCCACGATCGCCGTCTCTTCGGCCCCCTCTTCGCACGCCGCCTCTTCAGCTACCGCCACAACCTCTGGAGCCAGAGCCTCCAGAGCTTCTTCGATAAGGACGCCGTTAAGGATGAGGCATCCGCCATTAAAATTGAGAGCAAGGACTGCCTCGGCTTCCTCTGCCCTTCGGCTCTGCTGTCGCCGACTTCTCGGTTTCCGACGGCGCCCTCTGCTGCGTCGCTTGCCCAGAGTCTTCTCAGAATCGTCCGCGCGGGGAACCCTTCTCGTCGATTCCTCTGACGTGGGGCTCTCTCCATCTTCGGACCTCTCTGTTCCACTGGGGACTTCTCCACCCGGCAGTTCTGCACCGGACAGTTCTCCACCATTGTCATTGATTCGAATTTGACCGTCCGCAGGAGATGATTTCGCGTCCTTTGAAGCCCGTCTGGTTGTCGAATCGCGAGATGCCGACTTATCTGGACGCCCAACACGCCCAACACCGGCAGCGGCAGGGTCTTGGGTTAGCGCCGGGTCTTCGGCCGCCGCCATCTGGTTGTTGATGTCCTGGGCCAGGACGTCGACGAGGTGTCCGTTAACTATAAGGCAACCGTCTAAGTCGAAAGGGGACAGGGGAGGTAGTTCCAGAGGCAATGGGACGTTCGGGGAGCCGCTGGGTGGGCACACAGCGAGTCGTTGCCCGTTGACAATGACGATGCCGGTTTCGCCACCCCCCGCGGAAGATGAGGAATCGAAGCCCCAGATGTGGTCAGGTTTGTCCAGGTCGTCCGCGAGATCACTCCGTTCGGGAGAGATGTCTCGACTGAGGAACGGGTTGACACTCTCGCTGGAAAAGAAGTCCTCCTTGTGGACGAGGCTGTTAGTGCTCTCTGAGAGGTAACAGCAGTCGCTGGACAAGACCTCGAAGCCGTCCGTGGTGTCCGCGCTAGTCTCTGGGGTCTCCGGTCGCCGTCTCCACCTCCTACTGGAGTCTGTACTAGCGCCCCTGCCGTTCCGAGCTCGGTCGGCACCTGCTCGGGTTGCGCGAGATCTTTCAGAAGTTTTCTGTGCACGGTTCTTGGCAAGTCTGTGTGTGCCAAGTCTGTTAGGGGCAAATCTGTTAGGGGCAGAGATCCTCCTCCGTTTGCGCCGACAATCCATCAGAGAGGCGGTGGGAGGATGCGAAATCGTGGGAATGTTGACACAATCCTCGGCACAATCGAAAAGCAATGACAATAAGCCTCGGACCACTTCGTAGTCCGTGTCCGGCAAAGGCGTGTACGTTGGGGTGTCCAGTAGTGAGACTAGAAAACTGGTACAAGGCGGCTGACCCCCAAGTAGGCTAACTAAAAGGCCTTTGACATGAGTTGATTCCTTTTCTTGTAACGGCGGATCATTCAGTAACAAACCCATGAGGCAGTTTACCAGCTCCACTTTATTGATTTCATTATCCTCATATAGCAATAGTAACTCCAGAATTTTGATAAGGTGAATCAGATTACTGGGTGCTACTACACTGGACAAAATTCCATATACCTCCGCGGCGAAGAAATGTCGATTTGCCTGTACAAACTCGTTGATTTTCCCATCACCAATCTTCAATGTAGTGTTCAATAACCTCCCATAACAATTCATAGGCCGATAGCTCTTCGTGTATTCTCCCATTAAGCCGTAAGCAAACAATTCATAAACTAGATAAGAATCTCGTAATAAAGTTACGAATCTCGGAGACGTTGTCGGTTCAATCGCTGCCATGTGTAACATATGAATTAAATCTCGAGCTATACACCCTTGATTGTTCGGAGCGCAATTAGATAGCATCTCTGATAATATACCAGGAAACGTTTCAGATATATATACTGCACAGAAAGAGCCATATCCTCATGCCTGCAGGTGTACCCTTGAGGCCATGCTGCCTCCGAATGCGTGTTCGCGCGCGATGAGCACACGTGTGTGCACACACTTTATGCCCAGACTCGGTGCACAGCATCGGTGCACAGACTCGTGCAAATACACGTGTACTCCCTTTTTAAACAGCTTACCATCTCCATTCACTTCGGCCTCCGCAATACTATAGGCTTTACTTGGTGTTTTGGTTGCAATCTCACCACTGACCCTTGTCCCGATAACCTTGAAAGGAGCTTTCATGGGTTGAGAGGCCAGCTCCGCCAAAGAGCGGTCAGATGTCATTAAAAAAGTTGGTCGACCCTTCTCCCGCCATTACATATGAATGACCCCAAATAGCTTTTTAGTCTAGGTCCCAGACTCCTGTTGGTTACTAGCCGATCGTCATGTGGGCCTATCAAGAGAACTTGAGTCCTTTTGGGTCTGCGGCTATCATTAATGAGGTTGAGGGCGTCGCTGGGGTTATATCGGCAGGCTAGGCGGACATAAATCTTGTAGTCCAAGTCGTCTTCAGTGAAAGGACCGAAGGAGTCAAATCGAGATCCGTCCTTCTTGGCGAAGCAGGTGGCCACCTGTATAGCAATACTGTTTTTCTTATACAGCATGACCATATCAAGGGAGTCGTCCGAAGTGCTTACGTAACAAACAGGCGTGCTTGCGACAGAAGGGTTACCATTGCCGATGGGTATTTGGCCATACACGAACTGGCAGCCGGGAGGTACACTCAGGTCGACTCCGTTTGCACAGATATACAGTCCTTCGCGATGGAATTTTATGCGAGCGAAAGCGCCCAGTGCGTATCGGTCAACTAATTGTCCGGGAACACTGCGCACGGCATGTTGAAGGAGACAGCGTTTGCTGTGGTAAGTTAGCAAGCGAAATATAGCGTTCTTTACTAACTTTGAAGTGACCACCTTTTCCAGATACGGACTGCATGAATCGCCTACTTGGAAGTCAGTACCGGATACGTAACTGCCGGGACGAATTTGACAACGCACGATCCGGTCCTTCTTTGCCCATTCCTCCGACCATCTCCGATCGAACACACCCAGTAACTCATTCAGGCTCATCCGACTCAACACCTGACTTAACGGAGCTCGAATCCACTCTGCATTGTTCCAGTAGCTGATAATAAAAGCCAAGGAGACATTGGTGCCAGCGGCATCGAATAACTCGCGACCTGTAATACATGACAATTCCGTTCTCAGATTCTCTACTTTTGGTTCCGGAGGCATCAGTACCGGGACGGTGGACAAAGCACCTTCTAGAGAGGGTAGCGGCACGTCGGGAGTTGCGCCTGCCAGCAGTCTAGCGCCTACCACGCTCGCGTTCCTTAAGCCCTGTTGGGTGAATCGAGAGTCTGTGTCTTCTTCACAATCGTGGGATTGAGGACATCGGGCTAGCTTGCACAAACTCACTTGTAGAGGAGATAAGCCCGGCCAGAGCCATTCGCTATGTGGGGATATGTGTCCCAGAGTACGACCCACTGTGAGCATTACTCGACCCCGATAATGAGCCGCAGGGGGGCGAGTAACGTCCAACACGCCGTCTATAATACCAATCCGTACGCTGTCAGTAAGGCAGTGTCTACCATTCTGAGTTACGGTAATGTACTTATCGATGCTAACATCCTGGGGATGCCCCATCTCCCAATCAATATAGCCTACGTCCTTCGGATCGTCAAACAAAACCTTGACGTCCACTGAACCTGTACTTTCGATTCCAGAAGTCTGTACCAAACGACCTCTCGGTGGCAACAGACCCCTCTTCCACAATGCAACCAATCTCCGATCTCTTTCCAATGCGTCCTGACGACCCTCCTGCTGACGACCCTGCTTCTGACGACCCTGCTTCTGACGAGACTTATCTTGACGCCATGCATCACGGGTCATGACCTCGCGGCCAGCGAGTTCCTCTATATAGCGGTCGTGTTCAACTCGGCCTCTGGTCTGGCAGTTTGTTTCGCAACAGTGACCGGTAGAGAAAGAACGTTGCAACAAAGACCTGCACCGCCCCACTTGAGTAGACAGCCTCCTGTCGCGTATGCGCTCCCTCTTCCTCTCCAGACACTCCTCCAATAATTTCGCGTGTGCGTTACACGTACTCCGACGCAGAGGACTGTCCGAGTCTGTGGACTTGGCGGCGGAGCCCAGAACTGCCCCCAAATCAGGACAGGTCTTCACATGCTTGACCTTGTTCAAGCGCGGGACTTCTTCCCACGAGGTTTCTCCGTACGGGCTTTCTCCACAAGTGGTTCCTCCCCAAATGGTTGTTCCGCACGGGATCTCTCTGGCAGGAGCAGCATCAGTGCACCGCGAACCCAAAGGCGGTAAATCCAGGGGCAGTAACTCCAAGGGGAGTGACTTTAAAGTAACCGGCGAAAGAGCCGAATTCAAAAATGGCGTTGCGACATGACTGGGTATATGACTTGTCATTTTTCCACCCCACGCACTCCCGTGCCCGGAATAATTTCCACCGTTGTCACTATTGTCGCACTCCGAGGAGGTCTGACGGGGCAAGGACCCTGCCGCTGCCTGCCACGTAATTAAGCGTGACCGGTTACCAGTTCGCTTTATCACGAGAGTACCAAAGTCTTTCGCGAGTTCCCGGAACAGTACATACAGGCACGCGTGCGTCTTACCAGTCCCAGTACCCCCTAACAGACGGCACACGGAACCGCGCTGTCGCGAAGACATGGTCTTTTGAAGAGCTCTGTACAACTTGACGTGTTCTTCGAAGATGAGAAACATGTACCCAAGCTTTTCCTGTTCGTTCTCCTGTTCGTTCTCCTTTTCGTTCTCCTTTTCGTTCTCTTGTTCGCTCCCCTGTTCGCTCCCCTGTTCGCTCTTTTCTTGCTTATAATCTGCCCGCCCAACCTTCTCTTCTTCCTTGTCCCTCTGCTTGTTACTGCATTTCTCACGCTTCCTATCTTCGGGTCTGGCTCCTGTACAAACGATGGTTTGATCCATTCGATCTGCCGAGTCCGCCTGCGACCCACTTAACTCTTCTTGCCATGCATCGGGACTTTGGTCGGACACAGGGAAGTCTGGCTCGAAAGACAAGGTGGCCTCACTTGCAGCAGTTGAAATTCCAGAAGGAAGGACCCATGTTACCTGCTTGGCAAACCCGTCCTGGTTTGAAGAATGACCCAATGAAACACTGTAATCTGGCAGTTCTCTGATGGACCAGACGGTAAACTTGTCGCCCCTGCCAGGTGTCTTCTTGGGCACGCGTGTGAAGTGGTCGTCTCCCAGGTCTCTCCAGTCGTGGATTTCCAGGAATTCGTTTGTTAGAGAAACTCTCGCCCCATACAAGGAATCGTCGACTGGCTGGAGCACGGTAGCCTCCTGTCGCACCAGCCACAGCCGGTGCCAGGGCAGTGTGTAATATACGTCACTGAGCTCGCCCAGGTCCATCCAGCGCATGCCCTGGGCCATTAAATTCTTCGAGGAGATTTTTTTAATCCATGCCGTGTATTTACCGACCTTGGTAAGAAGACCCAGATCAAACAAACCAACGGTCGCTTCGGGACTCTGACCTGCAAAAGCAGATCCGGATGGACAGGCACGGATTGACAGGTAGGGACGGACAGGTAGGGACGGACAGCAAGCACCCTTCCCTGCTCGGGACGACGGGACGACGGTCTCTCTCACGAGTCATAAACAGGGAGTCATAAACAGGGAGTCATAAACAGGGAGTCATAAACAGGGAGTCATAAACAGGGAGTCATAAGCACGGAGACGGTTTATTCGTTCGGCAACAGATTTATTCGTTCTGTAAGGTGTCGTAGATGTAGTAAGAAGCCCAGTAGCGAGCGCTGTCATTATCATAGCCATCCTTTAAATATTGATTGTACAACCTAGAATAAATCAAACATCACCCACCGCGTCCGTTGGTGCGGCCAACCCTCTTTCCTGGGTGCGGAACGGGAGATGGTCAGGAGAATGCGATCCATTGCGTCTAGATCGCATACAAGCACGGGCTGGTGGAGTGGCTGGGGGAGGTCTTACTCTTCGAATTCCTCGGGGGCCATTTCCTTTGCCCTTTGGTATAGCTCCTCCCATTCCACGTCATCTTCGTCTTCGTCTTCCACTTCGTCTTCGTCTTCGTCTTCCACTTCGTCTTCGTCTTCCACTTCGTCTTCGTCTTTCACTTCGTCTTCCACTTCCGCCTCGCCATTGTCCTCTAAAGCGGCATCATCGTCAGCGTTTTCTTTCGTTTCCATGCCTTTCGTTTCCGTTCCGCTCGTCGTCAGTCCTCTCATTTCCATACGTTTCATTTCCATACCTCTCATTTCCGTGCCTCTCATTTCCGTTTCTTTTGATCCATTTGTATTTTGTGTTTCAAGAACTTGTCTGAGTGCTTGTTTTCGATCTTTGACCCAGCTGTTAATTCTTTTCTGATTTTCGCTTAAAGGATTACAAGAGACAAGGGATATATAGAAGATACCGAACCCTCCTGGAAGGGTGTAGAATGTGGTTTGTATTGCCAGCATTGTGAGTCTGGTTCTTTCTTCTAAAATGGACCGGGCGCTTTCAATAAGTTTACTGGCAAGTTTTGGGGCATCCAGGTAAGGGGATTGCAATTGTAGGAAACAAAGCTTCCATTGTGGGGGAACTTTGGATTGTAGTGCCTTCTTCCATTGGTCAATTTGAGCATGATAAATAAATTCATCACCTTCTTGACATGTATCAAGATGGTATCTCATTTGCGCTCCATCACGAAGAAAATCGTTTAATATGGATGATGTTTGCCAAACACAACTGAGGTTCATATTATTCCTAACTAAAGCGATCTCAAACTTCATAGTCATAACCAATTCGTTTTCTATAGTGTCAACTTGTTGACGAGATATCGGAAGCGATAGAACAGGTGGCGGATCAGGACATTCGAATTTAATACCATCAGGAAAGACTTTATGCCAATACTCATGATTCCATAGATCATAATAACATGCAGTACATGTTGGGTCTGATTGCTTATTTAACCAAACATTTTTATTATTAAACACCAAGTCAATGGTACGTATTTCCATACATCTAGTATTCTCAATCAATCCATCAGACGATGCGTGTCGTCCATTAGATGGTCCATCGATAGTATCTAATATCGAGGTTTGTAATATTGAATCACGTACCATTGCCTCTCTTTCTTCAGCATCTTTATGTTCAACTTCAACTGTCTCAATTGATTTTAAAAGACCAAAGAATTTCCTCACAGTCACAACCTCTTTCCTAGCTGATCTACGCATCCAAGTAGACTGTTGTCGAAATATTTTAACGTCTTTAACTCGATCTGGAAACAAGAAAATATCACCACTGTCGACTCCCCAAAGTCTAGCATCAACTTTGGATGTATGATGGTTTAAATCCAGAGTTAGAACGCCCGTTACCGGTTGCCCGGAAGGGGCGGTGCCTACAACCATGTATGCGTCGCAGAAAGTTGCTAGCATGAGACATGTCAGGAGAATATTATGAGAAGCAGCCGTTCCCACACGTGTGTGCACCAAGTAAAATGGAGAAGCCCATGAGTCTGGAGCACCCTCATTGCCTTCAGTAAACGGTATTGACCTAATGTAGGTAAAAATCGCTCTTGGACTAGAAATATCCTTCGGAGGTATAATCTCTGAAAGGAATAATGGTAGTAAAATATGACGACCTCGATTCGGGCGAGTTAAAGCAAAATTCCTATTTAATGCTTCAGGTAATGCCATACTTAGTAACTCTGCAATATTCATATACTTCTCAATTTCAGATTTGTAAGGTAAAGGGATAGTACTCAAGTCAGGACGAGCACAAGGAATTAAATCAGGAAGATGACGAGACATAAAGGCTTCATAAGCTAAGACTACATTTTTTTCAGATTCAAATGATAGTCCTAATGATTCTTTCGTATCTAAACATGGTATTTGAATATTCTTCAAACGCATAGTATAACTATCAAACACCCACTTCTCAACACGAGGTCTTACATCACCATCTTTAGTATATAATATATCCCATAATGAATATGATACATGACCAATATGATCAGTATTAAAACGATTAACAGACCAAAGATCCATTATGATCAACTCACTTTGAGGATACTCACTATCCACTAATTCTCGTCTACATATATACGTTCAATATACACACACGTTCAATACACACACGTGTGTTCAGTGTGTGTGTATGTGTCCATACTCACATGTTGGTAAAATATATAGGTATTGCAATATCTTCATCAAATGTAGGTGATGCAACATTATGCATAATACGTGTGCTCCTTGTCTGACCTCTATAGGATACAGTAATTTGTGCGTTAACCAATGTTTGACCGGATTTGGTAAATATTCTATCAACATTTTTAATACGTACAATCAGAAATAGATCTTCATTATTTAAAGCTAAGATTTGTCCAGATTGTGAATATAATGGTTCTCTAAGGGACTTAATATTTCCTTCAATATACCATTCAGTATGGTTAAAGAATATAGATGCTTCTCGACTAACCGGATCTAATTTGCATCTAATATGAGGTCGTTGTAAGAGGCCTCTAAACTGAAGGTAACCTCGTCCAAATTCAGTGGCTTGTGTAAATGGTCCTTTAATTAACGATACTACACAAGCACTATTTTCTACCTCCATTAACGTTCCTCTATACTTCATCGTACCCATATAACCCCAATACGGTTGTAATGAATATTGTCGTGGTGAATGTATAGCTTTCCCTATCAAACTCTTTATACCTTTAATATGCAATAACCAATGACTCTTACGCATACCACCGGAATCCAAAGTAGCATCACTTTTTCCTTCCCCATGTCCATGGTCATTCCTACCAGAAGAAACATGCCAATCGACAAAATCTAAATGAAAGTCAAAGATTTCTTGGAAAACAAATTCGAATGATGTCAGACATCTTTGAATTCTCTTACCACCTGTCAACTTATATAGAATCCTAGAAATAAAAGTGGATGTGGATGTGAAATTAATCAATGATTCCTCATGAGTCCCTTCAAGTTCATTCAACCCTTTTTTAGATGTCTTCCATAAATTTATTCTCAGCTTATGACTATGAAGCTGCTTATAACTTCCCTGCCATTCGTACCTCAATTGCAAATCCACCTTCGATGGCTTATGCTTATCTCTTGACACCGGATGAATTATGTAAGTACGTCTACGGTAACCAACTTCCCCCAGCGCTATCACCTTTATCGACTCACCCATAGCCACACGGAATTCCGAACGATTTGAACCAATTTCAAACTCCAGAAACGCCGCCAGTTCATCCTTGTACAAATTGGTTAATTTTATGCCATACACATTAACCTTCCAACGGCGGGGATAGTACCAGAACAACTGCTCATCCACACCCAACCCCGCTTCTATCCTCTCTCTCTTTGCCCGAAGCTACACACAGAAACTATGCACGCGTTTTATGCACACGCGTGTTCGTGCACACGCGTTTGTGCATACTTTTTACCGCCAGGAAGTCTTCGAATGACATGACCTCTGCGTTTAGCGTCTCCTCAAACTCTGCGTCTTCGGCTGCGGGCTCTGCTCCCCCCTCCTCCGCAGCGACCGCCTCGTCCACGGCGACCGGAATTACCGCCGCGCCTTCCACGCTCTCCGGGGCAGGCGGTTCTGCGGGCGCGGCGGTCGTCGTGAAGTTGGGAAGTACCGCAGCTGCAGCGTGTCTCGAGAAGGCCTGTTGCAGAAAATTCATCTCTCACGGCAGCAGCTCTCCTTTTTACGCCCTTTTCGATATTTGCCCCAGCAACGTGTTTGCCCCCAACAACGTGTTGCTCAGCCGTTGATGCCACGGCAGGTCCTTTGCTCAACAGCAGCAGTGGCTGAACCCTGTACCCAGACAAGTGCGTCCGGGAAATTTTAATAATGGGGGAAGATGCCCCGGACTCGGACACACTCAATAAATTCCTGAGACAGCTGGCGAACTTGCGCAAGACTATTTATACCACTGCTTACTTCCGGAATGATGGGGATCTTCTGCAGGCATTCAGCGTGCTGTACAAAAGCGCCCTCGGAAGGTGTACCGTGGCATATCCGCAGGCCCCCCAGATTATTCAAAGCTACCTCAATGATCAACTCAGGTCATGTAAGTGACGCATTCGAAGGTCCTCCCCTCCCCTTTAACATCATCTGGCGGTTACACATCCGTGCGCGGCAACGCGTTTGGACACAACATGTTTCCGCCTTAGTGAGTACTCCTCAGACGCTGATTGGCGCTCCCGGAAAGTCTGCTCAAATCGTGTCGCACTCTCGCCAATTCTCGCACGCGGCCGAGCCTTCAACCAAACCGCGCTTTGCAGAAGCCAGCGCTCGATCGGAGCCAGTTCGAGCAGTCCCACTTCGGTCGGAGCCGGTTCGACCGGAGCCAGTTCGACCGGAGCCGGTTCGAGAAAGCGGGGTGGGGGAAGCAGATCGCGAGATGAACACGAGCAGCGACGGAGGCCGCGTGAGTAAGGACAAGGCGGAGTACTCGAGGACGGACGTGGAGCCGAAGCCGGTGGCCGCTGGCCTGTCGTCGAGTAGAGAGACTCCCACTCGATTCGACGCCACGGGGGCCCGCTTGAGTCGAGGTGAAAGCCGCGTGCCAGAGAGTCGGACGCCTGACCGGGTGACGGACCGCGGGGTGGACGGCGTGGGGGAGCGTTTGAGTGGTTCGCAGCGGCGGTCGTTGGCGGACGACTCAGCCCGGCGGGACTCGTCTTTGAGTCGGAGGCAGCCCGAGTCGCAGAGTGCGCGGATGCAGGATACGCTGCCGGGCAAAGTAATGCCTCTAGACGCGTCAGAGACGTACTTTCTGCTCCAGAGCCTGCCGCCAACGAGACAGACAGGGGTAGAACGACTAGCACACCCCGCGCTCTTGAAGCGATCACAAATAAACAAACATTTCAAGGTCATCACCGCTTTGGATCGTTTCTTGCCAGCACACTTCCTCAGCAATAAGCGCACGGCGCCGGTGGAGGTGACCGAGAAGAAGAAACAGCGAGTCGCTGCCGACAAAACTCCAGATGCATCCTCCAGAGTCTCCACCTCCCCGGTCTCCACCTCCCCGGTCTCTCCCGTCAAGACAACGGAAGCCAGGACCAATGAGATTAGGGACAGTGAGGGCAAAAGGACTGAGGGTAAGACTTCTCGAAAGATTGGCCGTGTCTCAACGGCGCCACAGGAGAGATACCATGAAGATACGGAGGAAGAGAATTCCAATCACGTCCACCCAGAGCAGAGCGACCGGGCGACCAGCCGATCCTCCGGCGACGTGATCCTGGTCGAAGCTGCCGGGTTGAGGAGCCCACAGACCCGGGACCTACTGGAGAAACCGATAGATAGAAATATGCTATTCCCTAGCAGCTCGGAGACACTCGCACCAGAACCGGCTCGACTCAAAACTTCAGGGGGGGCCCTCCAGTTGCAAGCGTCCCGAGTTGAGGACGCCCTTGACGACAAAGAGAAGGCCCTAGCGGAAATCCGACGCATGGAGGAACAAGTCCTGCAGCGACAGAAGGAACTCGAACTCGAACTAAGTCGGAGGAAGGAAGCGAAAAAACAGGCTGAGGAAACCGCTAGACGGCACGGCGGTGCTGAAGAGAGGCAAAGGGCCGAGGAGAGGCAAAGGGCGGAGGAGAGGCAAAGGGCGGAGGAGAGGCAAAGGGCGGAGGAGAGGCAACGAGTTGAAGAGAGGCAACGAGTTGAAGAGAGGCAAAGGGCCGAGGAGAGGCAAAGGGCGGAGGAGAGGCAACGAGTTGAAGAGAGGCAACGAGTTGAAGAGAGGCAACGAGTTGAAGAGAGGCAACGAGCGGAAGAGAGGCAACGAGCGGAAGAGAGGCAACGAGCGGAAGAGAGGCAACGAGCGGAAGAGAGGCGCAAGGCGAAGGAGGTGGAGAGACGAGAGGCTCAGGAGCGAGCCAAGGAGGTGGAGCGGCAGCGCGAGTTACTTCGCGAGCGGGAGCGGCCTAAGGA